CATCTGTGAAGTCAGAGTAGCAGAACTTAATAACCCCCAAGACTAAGTTGATGTGAGAGCTGGGAGCCAGAGAGAGATAACAGCTCTGTTGTTGTTGTGCAGACAGCTGCAGTTGGTGCTGAGGGGAGAAATCCTTGAGATTTGATGCAGCATTAAGTGGTAGAAAAGAGAAACAGATGTACAGGCACATATGGACACACACAGTCAGTTATACACACTCATGTCAATTGCTGAATCTCTGCATGGCTCAAAAGCTCTTCATATAAAATCCCCATACTGGTGCTAATTCCCTCTCCAGATGTGCAAATCACAGGGAGATTTCTGCACTCACCCAGTCTGGGGATAAACCAAACAGAGGCCACCAGATCAACATACACCATCCTGCTGGTCAGTGTGTTGAGGTGCACGATTCTAGTCCCATTCTGGCCCTCAGTAGGTTGAGCTATCCTCCAATAATCTCACACTGAGGAACACCATATGATGCTTTCTGTAAGCTCTCTGCCTGTTATTTCATCAAAGCTGATCACTGGAACATGTCAATATGGCAAATGATTAATGCCTATTCGTGTTCTTTAAGTTTTAGATGTTGAGGTTATTTTTCATTTTGGTATTTTGTTTTATCTTCAATGCGATGGCAAGGCTACATACTGTACTATTACTCAGATTTTTGTTTAAGTATGCCGATTACAAGAATACTGTACTCAAAAAAATTCATGTCTAAGTTGCTAAACCTCATACATACACAAGAGAATTAGGGCCACTGTAAAAAATGTGTTTGAGTTCTGACTTTTCTCGGGGCAACATGGTGACACTGTGGTTAGCGCTGCTGCCTCACAGCAGAATACTTCTGGTTTAGAGCCACAGCCGACCTGGTGCCTTCCTGTGCTGAGTTTGCATGTTCTCCAAATGCCTGCGTGGGTTCCCTCCGGGTACTCCGGTTTCACCCCACAGTTCAAAGACATGCAGCTCAGGTTGACTGGCACCTCTAAACTGCCCGTAGGAGTGAGTGTGGGTGGTTGTCTGTCAGCCCTGTGATAGACTGGCGACCTGTCCAGGGTGGACCCCACCTTTCACCCAATGTCAGCTGGGATTGGCTCCAGCCCCCCATCACCCTATTCAGGAATAGGCAGTATAGATAATGAATAGATGTACTTTTTCTTATAATTCAGATTTTCTTTCAGAAATATGACTTTAAATCATGAATTCTGACTTTTTAAAGTCAGCTTTAAAGTCACAAGTTTAAGTCATAATTTGAAAAAAAAAAGCCTCACAACTCAAATGTTTTTACAGTGGCCCTAATCTTTTTCTATACATGGAAGATTTGCATCGCATCAATTTAAACCATTTTCACTTCATAAAATTTACTCCCCTTTTAGACAAAGATGAATTTTGTAAATAATTCAGCTCTGCATTAATGCTCGGATGTTTGATGCGAATGAGAACAAATGAAAGATGGACCCACTCAACATCATCACTTTATTGTCAGTGCACATTCAGTTTTATATGTATATGACACACAGTACAAAGTTGTGGCAAATAAATGGATGTCTGTTTGTTTAAATGTTAGTCTCACTGTGTGCGTGTTCAAATCTCTTTTTATACATTTTCTTTCAGCTCTTCATCCATTCATTGCTTACATGTTTTATAATTAGTTTATTATCCTCGATATTTTGCCGGTGAACATATGTACATTTTATGCATGTTGTGTGTATAATGATCTAGTAGCTTGATGATGAGTTTATTATCCTACTGAGCCTTTAATCACTTTAGTTCTTCAGTGGAGGACGAGGGCGTGTCAGAGCCATCCAGACACTCCTGCAACACAGAGAGACAACGAAACAAAACTCTTATTCGCTCAGTGGTTTAAATATGTTTTACTACAATACTTACATGTACATTGCTACTTCATGGGAAGAAAGGCATAAGTATATTACAGTACCATTATTGTTTAGAAATACATTTACCGTACACACACACATATATAAAAAAAAATGTATAAGTATACATGAGCTAGAAAAGATGTGGAAGATGAAGACATAAGTGGCCCCTGTGGTAATAGGAACACTGGGGGCTGTGACCCCCAAACTGGGAGAGTGGCTCCAACAGCTCCCAGCAACAACGTCTGAGATGTCTGTCCAGAAGAGTGCAGTGCTAGGAACAGCTAAGATATTGTGCAGGACCCTCAAGCTCCCAGACCTCTGGTAGAGGACCCGCGCTTGAAGGAAGGAATAAGAGCACCCTGAAGTGGGGCGAGTGGGGATGATATTTTCATATATATATATATATATATACATACACACATATACATACACATACACACACCCACATACACACACACACACACACACACACACACGCATTCAAGTACAATCCAAAGTCAGTTTGTCTTTAAGTATTGAAGTACAGCACACACACATACAAAACTGACCTTCACTCTGTCCAGCTCTGGTCTGCCCGGGAGTGATTTCTGTGAGGAAAACGCCTAGAAGGTAAGACAGGGTAGTCAGATTAGACCTTATTAGTGACAGAGCAAGCAAGAGAAGCTAGGAGGTGTGAATGTCAGGCTGAGTTTCACCCTCTTCGACTGTTGCATCTCGTCTATGGATTTGGACCGGTTCTTCATGTGCTTCTGAGGAGAGGTGGCGGTGGGGGCCTAGAGAGAAGGAGGCCCATATTAGACATGGCCAGGAGTCAAATGATTTGCTTGTTAGGCTTCCACATACCTCATTTGTTTTCTGCTCCATGGCTGACCTGAATATTTTTCTCTGGAGAGGTTCAGTGCTGATGGAAGTTTAGGAGAGAAGATGTTGTCCGGATAGACTGACTGTACAACTACATTAACAGGAGAAAGAAAAGAAAGAAACTTGGCAGAGTTTTATAACCGAACACAATTTACAATACCACTAACAAAACTTCTCGGAGAGAGTATAAATAATAATAAAAGCAATGTTTAGGTTGCATATGGACAAAATGTTATTTTGATTCCTGATCAACCTTGATCACTAGAAAAGCCTGAAGAGCACTAGTCAATGAGAGACCAAAGGAACATTAACACACCAGTTATCACTTTGTTTCACTAGATGGCGCCTCTGACTCAGGGACCCGCTGCTGCTACAACTTTCCTGATCCGACTGTACTGAGGTTTGATTTTCTTCATTGCGTTCACCCTGGAGTTTGGAAGCAGTTATCACACTGGGATGCACACACCCCTGCTCTTATTGTTTCTCATTTTGATTTGCAGAGACGGAAAGAAAACGCACCTGATTCACCTGACTCTCATAAAATTTGTTAACACAGACAGATGCTGCTCCTGTATTTAAAGATCTATCCCAGTGATCAGTAAGTGTTCAGTAGCTGATTGTTATCACATAAAGGCTTGTGTGAGTCCTAACTACAGGGACGCCCCATAGTCCACCACCCAGAATCAGAATGAACATGCAGACTGTAAAGAAGATCATATAAGATTTATAGAATAAATCGTTCTCCCAGCATGAAGGGGTGAAAATATAGAAAAGAAGGAAGAACAGTAATGAAGTCAAAAAGATAACACAACCACACAGACAGGATGGAAACAAGCTTCCTCCTAAATTGAAAAGATACAAAGAACTGGTCAGTCTGTATAAAAGTCATTTTTATAATCCAATGATCTCAGTGCTGCCTGTGGATGTCTCCTTCTGTCTGACAACGGACCACTTAAAACGGTCTCTGGTATCCAAAAGTAAATGGGTTTCCACTGGTTTCCTATTCTGCAAAGTTTTTAAATAAAGGAGATGAAAGAATTTGGAAGATATGACTCTCAAACGGTGCTCATAACAAAACAGTAAAACAGTAATATCCACTGAATATTCTAAACACCAAAGCTTGAGCTTCAAGGGTTATTTTTGACCTTGGAAACAGCAAGCAAAAAAAAAATAAATAAATAAATAAATAAATAAATAAAACTGTCAACACAAGGTGCACTTTCGGTACTGCAAATGTGTGCTGTGCTTTATTTGGTGAAGCCGCCTCATGATTACAGTTACATCAATAAGATCCCCTACAACTGTCAACACTAGTTCAATGTATTTAGGGATTTCTTTTTTTGAGCATTAACAACTAATATGGCAAAGTGCAGTAACATAATTTAAAGCCCTAACAACTCAGCTTCATGTCTTAAGTGTTTCAATTGAACATTAAATATTCATGACTGAATTAACAACATAGTCAAAGTGATCCATATCTGCACTCATCTGCTATTTGGCGATGATCAACCCACAAACTGTCATTTAAAATTTTATTAATGTGTCACTAAATCCTGTGTGCAGAAGTTTGTGCCATCACCTTTGTCTCACCGAGCTACATCTATTTCAGGAGCAAAGAAAAACAAGAATCGGGGTGGAATTACCTAAATTAGTTTGGTTATGCATGCATCAATCCTACTAAAAATCTAATATAGAAAATATGTTTCTTAGGGCTTTAAAGCAAGTTATTCCATCAATTATTTCAATGATAATTACATGATTTCCTCCCAAGATGTATACTTATCATTCAAGTCTCTTGAGATGAGACAACAGTGCTCACAAATAAAATAAAATGTGGAAAATCACTTGTAGCGCTGACTGAACTGACAGTGAACTGCCTACTATCCTGTGGCTCTACAGGAAACATCAGCCCAGAGCTAATAAAAAATAAATGGGAACAGATCGACAGGAGCTCACTCACCCACTGTGATGCCTGACGTTGGCAGGCATGGTAGCACCACATGTGATGCTTCAGAGAGCTCCATTAGAAAGTCCCAGCTGGACTGGAATATATGTGATATTCAACAAGACCCTCCCTTCAAACCAAAGGGATGTGGCTGGAAGTGCATCTCCTTTATAGCTGAGGTAGAAATGCCCTGTAGCTTTGAGAAACCCTTTTCCATAAATTAATCCACATGAGCAAACCAGCAACAGCCCAGCGACACATCCAAAAACTCTAGACCGCATTGTGGTAAGCATACAAAAATGTATATGGGCAAATGAATAAAATGGTCATGTGTTATTGGCGAACAAGGGCAAGACTGAGTCTTTCTCCTTAAAACCTACTCAAGAGCTCTTTCTGCAAGGATGAGCATATTGAATATTTTGCCTCGCAGTCTTTTCAACCATTTTCCTCCTCCCATCACTTTAACCATGACGCTGCAAGAGGAAGCTGACAAATCTGAAGCAGAAGTTTAGAGTACTTGGCCTTTACAATCTGCAATAAAGTACTGATGGGAATGTTTGTATTATTAAATGAAGAAAATCTGTTTCCAAGATTTGAATCCTAACATGAGCAGAGACCACAGCTGAGTGGTGGTTCAGAGCTAATTAACTCCTCAGCTGAGACGCACAACATGATAAGAGCTTCTTGAGCTTAATTTCAATGTGTTGAAGAGCTTCATAAGCACAGACAAGATATCCAAAAGAACAGTTCAAGTTGCATATACCTCATCACTCTTGCTGCCTTCTTGCACTTCACTGAGAATGGGCTGCCCAAAGACTACTGGCTAGATACAATCATCTCTGATTGTGCCTACAAGTGACTGGTCATCAGTGTTCATTAATCAACAATGACAAGAATTAACCATTGAGCCATGAGTTGCGTGACGAATACCTTAGGGATAGCCACTGTAATTCCAGTCCAAGAGATCAAAACAATGTTGTCACCTGACATCTGTGCTAGTGAACATGCTAATCACAAAAGCTCACATACTCAGAATTATACAGGCTGTTATAGCACATAGGGACAAATGTGCTTAGAGCCACCGATGTGAATGGACAGTAACTGCATTGGCAGAGAGCAGACAAAGATGCCTCACAGTGGCAAGGACATTATGTCCTGTAATTGATGATGATGGCCAGTCTGTTATGCTCAGGTGGGCCACACACATACACACATACTTGTACATCCCCAGCTGAATGAATGTAGTCAGGAGTCATCCAGTGCAGCTGCTCCCAGCCTGAATCACAGCTCAGCCATGTGTATCGCATCTAATAACAGAGTCAGTGCTAATGAAGCCGCTATCATTTTCATTTTTTAATACATTGAGTGCAGACCCTATCCTCTGTCTGAGCCAAATTTGCAAAGCACAGTAACGTGCAAAGCATTGATCTGATTGTCCCCCCCTCAGTCACTTACTATGCATCTCTCTGCAGCACTCTCAAAGGCACGGTGAGAACCATTCACAGCTCCCATTAGCAAAAGGACTGAGTTCAGAAAATAAACACTTCCAGATGTTCAAAGCTGTTTTTCCCCCATTTATCCCAATGAAAAAGCAGTACATAAGAAAACCAGAGATAGCATTGGCAGTCAATCTAAAAGAAATAAGCTTTTCTATGAATGAGATGAAGACATTTAAATCAAGCACAGAAATGCTGTGAGTGAAAAACAGGAGGAAAGAATGAACGATGGGAGTGACAAAGGGGAATAAAGGGGGAGGCAGACATTTACTGACTGAACAAGTGCCGCAATCACCCAAGAAGAAGAAGAAGAAAAAAAAAGGGATTAATGAAATGCCTTGGGGAAAATTCAGACGCTCACCTCCTTTTTCTCCCCTCTTCCTTCTCAGCGCAGCAGACGTGCAGTGGGGTAGGTGGCACTCTTCATCTCACTGCTGCTATGCTGTCTGTGAGAGCACACCCCTCTCTGCCCATTCATAGCTCCGCCAACACACCACTCATGCATGGATGCATACACTCACATATACCACCAGGTGTGTCAATCACACCTCTGCATGCCAGTGTGTCTGGCAGCTGTGGATGTGACAGGTAGGAAGCAGGTATTATAAGCTTAATATTATGCTGATATTGACAGCTGTGTTGTTTGGCTCAGGCTAATTGCTTTAGTCACAATCACATCTACGAGCATGCATGATACAGGCAAGGTGGATGAATGAGATGCTTCCCCAACTCATACAGTCACATACTCTGCTGTTGCTGACATCATCCATGTGGATGAATCCATCTATGACTCATCAAATGCATTTTGTAACTCATATAGTAGACACACACACACACACACACACACACACACACACACACAGTTAGTCCTCCAAGGTTCCTGAACTGGAAAACACCTTCCAGCAACAAATCTGCAGACAGATGACGCAGGTGATTGGCTACAAACCCTTTGTCATGAGCCAGTCACAGCACTTGTATGATCACTTTCTTTGTGCAAAAATGACATCAGTACATGACATTTACACAGGATATACAAAAAAAACACAAATGGACAATCAAATCAAACACCTACCTAGATGGATTCTGGTAAGATTCACACTGCATGAGTCACACAGCCAGTCCACTGGGGCTGTGGGATTTAGCTGCACCACATACAAAACCAAATTGCACAGCATTTGTCAAGCCAGCAACTGACCTCGGTGAATTATCCAAAATATTCCTCAAAGGCCTGAAAGCTGAAACCGGACATGAATCACATGAAATTTATACAGACAAGATCATATCTCATCATAAAATACTTTAATTCTTTGGATACACCCTGTGGGATTGTTTTGATGATCACATCTGACTGTCTCTCCTAATACCACATCATTAATGTAGCTTGAGGGGACAGGAAAATAGGACTGACAAGATCACAGCACACCACATGCATTTAGAGTTAGTACCACAAACACACAATGGAAAACGATCAGTAGGCACACAAAATGGAGGTTATAATTAAAAATGTTCATTAAAATATTCAATAAACTTATATGAAATAAAACTGTGCAATTCACTTCCCCCCTCCCCCATTTAGTGTTTTGGCATGACACTAAATGCTTGCCATGATCTTTCTCCTTTGCGTATTGCCTCAAGAGGCCAATTATCTGTAGCAGATAGCTGGATCACACTGCTGTCTGGGAGCTTACTGCAAATCAGTGATTAAAAGTGCTTGACTGTTTAGAGCTAAAAGTTATTTTCTTCTTCAGACATGATTGGCAACATGATGTTGTGAGATTTGTTGTAGTTTCTGATCATGTCTTTGTGTATCCTACATATAACCTATTTCAAACTGTTTTCTTTAAGTCTTTGGATTTTGATTCTGAAGAGTTGGGGCTTTCCTCTGCTGCTGCAGCTGGACTGGGCAACTTGTTGTCTTGTCTTCTGAGTCCTTCGATTCTGCAGTGGAGGAGATGGCCGTGCTAGTTTCATCTGGCTGCGTCTCCTGCCCCTGGTCAGAAGGCAACTGCAGGAACAGAGGGAGCTCTAGCTGCTCTTTGGTCAGAAGGCCTCGCTGGTCATCAACCCTGCAGCACTGAGCCCTTGTCAACATGTCCAGAAACCCAGCTGCAAAAAATAAAGTGTTAACATTGATTTCACACAAAATAAATAAGGTACTGTTTTGTAACACTATGTCAGTAATGCTTGGCCTCACGTTATTCTTGAACTGTAAAGCTTTTATGACCCCATTTAATTCTCTGCAGTCTCCTGTCCTGACTAGGGTTGGGCGGTATAGATAACATCTATCATGCAACTTCATACTGCAGTACTGATTTAATGCATTCTTGAATATTTCCTGAAAACTCACCTGAGAATTTTCAGATGAAATGTTTCTTCTTGAGCTTAAAACAGTGGCTCAGTCAATCTAGAAGTCTGTTCTGGACTTTTCAGTCACATTACAAAGAATTTTTTTTTTTTCCTCCATCTGCTGGAAAGGTTTGTGTGATACAACATGACTGAACTGACTGTTTATTGTTAGGCTGTATAAAATCCAGGCATTTCACCACATTAAAAACTAATGTAAATTCAGTGTTGCTATATACTCCTTGTTAGTAGTTGTCATCTTACAGTTTGTTTCATCATAGTGCCCAACCCTACTAGATACCACTGAGGTGTCCTACCATCCATCTCGTGGCTCTTACTGGGCTTGGGCTGATTCTTGGTTCTGTCCGTCTTCAACGATGATCGGGTGTTTAGACCACCTCCACTTGCTGCTCCTGCCTGAGAAAATAATGTAAGAGGCTTTACAATCCCCAAAACAGGAGAAAGATATTAACTATGAATTCTACAAATCACACAAGAATTTGTTTTTTTATAAAAGAAACATTATGCTGGTGGGTGTGCAGAATTCTTGGGATATGTCAAACAACCCTCCATTTACTCTCAACTGCAGCTACACGTGGTGAATATGAGCACGACTGTTCATCTATTTCTAATGTATATGTTGTGCTATAAAAAAAAATCCATAATTTACCAAAAAGGTACTGCCCATATTAGGCACATTACTTTGTGCAACAACCCCACAACGCAATGTGCTGTATTTCATAAATGCAGAAACATTCTCTATACAGTTTTCCATACAATACAAAAAGAATTATCTATACAGAGGACATGCTCCAGATAGTTCATTTCTAATAAGAATATAATCAAGGTTAATAACCAAAAGCATCCAAGTTTATTTATTATTCTAAATAAATAATCTTTTCATGACACACAACTATGTATACATTTCCCAGTAGATAGTGTCAGGATCACAAAGAAGCACCCCGGTTTCTGTATGATGGCAACAAGATTTGTGTTTGGTGTTTAGAGATCTATTAACAATCTCTCACCTGTGTGTCTGCAGCAGAACGGCTGCCCTTGAAAATAGTGCTCTGGTCTTTTCCTCTTCAAACCACACACACACACACACACACACACACACACACACACACACACACACACACACACACACAAATCAATTCCCAACAGTTCTGTTGCTTCCAGTACAAACACAGTCATTAGGTTGTTGCTGATGCTACAAAACTTAACTTCTCCACTGTGTTAAACACTGACATCATCCAGGTAAAATATTCTTGAGAGGAAGTAAACTGTTCCCCCTGGGACACAGCCACTCTAATCAAATCCATTTCCCTCTTCCTACATGCAGTGAGTGGAGCAGAGGCAGGGAGCACTGATCCAAAGTGAAGTTGGTTCTGGTCTCTCAACAGCTAGGAAATGAGGTGAGTGAATTCAAAGTGACAGCACTCAACTAACTGAATGGACTCAGGCATTTCAACCAAACAGAAAAGAGAGAGAGAGAGAGAAAGAGGGGAACACAGAGGAAAACCAGGGCAATAAAGTGGACAGTAGAAAGACTTTCTGTTCTACAAGCTAAAAGGAAGCAAGAGCCAAGAGATGCAGAAACACTTTCTAGGACCCATTAAAGAACCAATTAAATTAAGAGACAGGCACAGCTAGAGGAGATCACACAAAGCAGTGATGCATCACTTGACTAAACTTATTTCATTTTCTCATGGGCCAGGTTCTTTTCATGTTGAGGCTGCCTTTGTTTTTAAGCTAAAAACCATTAGATTTTGGGTCAACACATTTACCTTTGATTTTATCAAGCCTTAGCGTCTTATTGGCCAGGCTGAATACAGTGCTGCTCATGTTCACGGGCTCGTCACTTCCAACCTAAACAAACAAGAAAAAAAAAAGTGAATGATTCCAGTTGGGCAGACCCTGACACACTGAGTTGCACAGTTTTGTGGGGATGAACCATCAAGACCCCAGAGAACATGGGGGGGGGGATTATTTTACATAATCACATTAAAATTACAGACATTAAAATGCATTCTGATTTGTAAACTGTTGCCTGGCAACAAGGACAGGGCTTCTTAAAGCAGTACGTTTAAACCAAAGTGGATTAAGAAGGCTTTATAAGGACCTGCTATCATTATTATTATTTTAGACAGTAATGGTGGGTCATGGGAACACTGAATAGTTCCAAACATTAGAGGCGTCACCATAGAGCTGCACTGACTTAGCCACCATCTTTCAAGTTTAAATCAATAGCAGTAATTATAGTTGAGATATTTTAAATTAACACGTTTCAAAACATGTTGACTGTCCTTCTCAAATATTGTCACTTTAATAAATAGTTACATAGCTTACCAGCTAAATTAGCTGAGCCAAAAACAATTAATCTGCAAGGCTGTACAAGTCGTTAAAAATAGTAATTACTGATAAATCCTGCTGTTCCCTACAGAAAAAGGATCCTAATTCACTGTTTGAAGCTACGAGTCACATGACTCGCTGCCGTTTTGACCCCTCAGCGTCACACCAGCTTTGGTTTAGATATGGTACTTTTAGAAGTCGAGTCATTAAAGTGAATTTTCTTCACAAAACATAACTTTATTACATCCAGGTTAGAACTATCTGACAACCTCACCAGCTCTCTGCTTTTGTCATCATGTCTCCATCCAAAACTTGCCATTTTAAAAAGCAATTACAGGTTTCAGAACTGAACTCGATCAATTGATAGTACAGTTAAACCATCAGTAAACCCAAATATTTGCAATTGAGAGAAAACATTTATTTATTAGAGTACCTAATCAAGCATATTATGGTCTCATTCATACATACTATGCCCTCACCATGGTGATCACAACCTCTGGCAGCTTGAGCTGGTGCTTCTGCATCACCGTAGAGAGGACGTCCTGCAGCGTCTTATAAGACTTCGCTACAATACCCACAGTTTTACCAGTGAAGGCAATCTCCAGCCTGAAACACACATGCATTTCAATAATCCACACACAAAATCAGATGAAAGTAGAGTCTAGTATCATTAACATCTAAATCTTGCAAACCTTGTAGACACACTAAAATCTACCACGCAGTGACCTCTTAGCAGGAGAACAAAATTTTTAATAAGTACATATTCGATGCAAATAGTGACTAAATTGTTTTAGCCCAGAGAATCAGCCTCTGAGTCTGGTGTTAACACAAGGACTTCCCTCTATCATAGTGAGAAGTGATATGCTGTAGTGAGAATGGGGGTGTGAAAGTCTGCTAGAGAATCAAAGACAGAAAAATAAAAAGGAAGTGGAGGAAATGACAATTGACTCACGCAAACGTCACCCTGAGCTCTAGAGAAACCTGCTGATCTCTCAAAATTGAGCAGTCCTGATCCAGCAATAAGGGCTGCTGTAGAGAGAGCAAACATCAGACACAGAAAAATGAAAAGTGACATCAACTGCAACAACTTTAAAATAAGTTATACCGAGTTTCAGAAATGAAACAGAGATGAGGCTATTAAGAAGAACAGGAAGAGGGCAGTCATGTTTCCCATAATGACTGTTATAAAACAGTTTTTCAGCATGTCACAGCAGATACCTTTTGAACAGCTTCAAGTTGTAAAGTTATGGCTGATGCAGGACAGAGCAGCCATGTGCTCACCTTGTCCTTGCCATGAAGGTAGATGACGACATCCTTCAGTGGGAAGCCTCTCTTCTCACACAGGCTCGCAAGCATTTTTTTAATGGGTTGGCCATTAGGTGTGGGAGCCAGGGAAGCACTGCCATCAGGTAGGTAGACACAGCAGTAGCCCCCCTCCACCCCAGGCCGACTCCCACCTTCACTACCCTGATCTGGAGACCGGGGACTCGATCTGCCGTTCTACATCACAGATGGAGAAGAGAGAAAAAAATTGAAGAGCGAAAAATACATTTCACAATGATAGTCATTTCCCTCTAAACTGTCTTTGTTATCCTCTGGTCATGCACCTTACTGCCATCAAACCATGCATTTAAAAGGGATTTCTGGTAAACCAACACCAGCTGAGGTACAATACAGAAATGCACTGACCTCTGTCCGCCTGCAGAGGGGACTGAGCTCCATGCTGCTGGTAGACTTGTTCGGCACAGGGGACTCTTTCCGGGAGATCGAACCCTGGGTGTTGGTTGCATCTACTGTAGGTAGGATTTTTTTTTTTTTTAATGATAAGAACACAGCTAGGGGGAAATTACAAAATGAAGTCACAGATTGTACATGAAGGCATCACACACTACCTCCCCAGGACCCTCTTTTATTTTGTCGTTTCTCAGAGGCACTGTTCCCACCTGGTAAGCTGTTGGAGTCTGATTTCTTGTTCTGTTTGAGACAGAAAACAATAATCACACACAATGTTTGGCTTTCATGTGCCCTCAGTCCATTTTCTCACAGTCCATCTACCTTTTTTCCTCTCAGTGTAGGGCTTCTGGTGGCCACATCGTCCCAGGATCCCATGTGAACCGGCTCTTGGGAGAGCTGAGGTAGAAGTTTGCCTTCTACACTTGCCAAGGAGCAACTCTGGTAGAGAGGAGAGCGCACAAAGCGCCTGTAGCTGTCCATCTTCATCAGTTTAAATATCTAACACAAAGCATGGAGAGTGGTAAACATAATTTGGGGCAGCTGTGGCTCAGGAGGTAGAGCAGGTCATCTCCTAACTGGAAGGTTAGTGGTTCTGGTGAGGTCACTGGTGTGTATGGGTGAATGGCCAGACAGCATGAACGCACTTTTCTACACATTGCAGCACACGCAAAGAGCTATACAAGTATAAAACCCATCAGCCAAGGCACTATCAATGTATCTATGCATTAGTGAGCCAATATGAGAGTACAGACTTTAAACAGACCTGTGTTTGAGCCTTGTTAAACATGTCAGGTGTGGGCTGTTCCAGGTCCTTTTCCTCTGTCTTGGCAGAGTCGTCAATGTTGACTGAGTAGGGAGCGCTGTCAGAAAGGTAGGTGCTGTAGATGGAGTGAGCTGTTGCTTTCAGCTGGAAACGACAGCTTCATCAGATTGAATCCTCCTGATAATGAGAAATGACCTACACTTTGTTTCCTAATCACTGTTTCTAAACCGATGAGACATCGACAAGAATAAACGTCAATGTCCATGACACATTAGCTTTCCTTTGGATTTCATCTGGCCATTTAGTTTTCAATACCCACCTAAGGCACCATTGTGTGTATATATCTATTCACTGGCTTGGTCTCTTTCCTGCTTAAGTGTTGGTCACTTCCTGTATCAGGAATCAAATCAACCCTTCCAAGCATTCACTCTGAGATCAATTTATCACTAAGAGGCAATTCATTTCCCAGCGAGCTGAGCAACCAAAGAAACCAACATGTGGACAGGCACCAACCTCACCAATTTCTGCACATCCTTGTTTCTTGACCAACAAAATAAAAAACAAACCAATATTTCCATCTGGAAGTCATCAAATAGATCTAATGTTGATATTTGTTTCCAAAACTAGCAGCCATTTCTAGCTAACTAGTCACCTTTTTTAAAAAACACTGCTGTAAAAGAGCACATATCTAAAAAAAAATAAAATAAATAAAAGTATGTAAAAACACATCATATATCACTGAACTCAACAGAAAATGTATCAGTTGTTGATTAATTCTACATAGGTGCCTAGAAACCACTGGACCACACAGTGCAACTGCTCCACTACATCAAAATGGCAACCTCATTACCCTAACTGTAAAAATTCAATGTCTTCTCTACAAAGATGTGTATTTAGGTAAAAACTATGAAAAGAATCTTTGGTTGATTAAAACATCATTATGAGCCACAAATGACAGATGAGCTAATTCACTATGTAAAGAGGTAAAAGTGCTATCTTACCTCACCCAAGGAGGTGGCTGGGATCTTCCTGAACTTTTCACAAGCTTGCCAGAATAAAATGTTCTCCACACTCACTTCAGATTTCAAGAAGGCCTGTGGAGAAACATGCATAAACACAGAATGAACACACATAGTAAGAGGCTGTTAGAAAATATCGGCCCTTCGATTTCCTGAACATATCACTACAATGTGACTCACAGCAAAGTACTGAACCCCACAGGGGTCCTCCAATAGCTTCTCAAAGGAAACGGCCCAGCTCAGCACATTGTTAGCTGGGCCAGGCTCTCCACCCGGAGTCCCTGGAAGGCTGGAGCTGCTGCCTCCACAGACTCGCGCAGACATGCTCAGCTCTACAACAATTTCAGACACCAACCATTTATCAGTACAGAAAAGCAGAACCAATAATGAAACTGAATCAAATATTTTCTTCTGTCATGCATAGACATGTTCAGGTTGTAGAAATGTGTCATGTGTCAGTGTGCACGTTGTTTAGTCTTACCTCCATCTGACACTGCCTGGCTCTGTGAAGAAAGAGATAGGACAAGGAGCTTTACAACATTAAAACCTACACAAACATCTGATAAGGTGGTACACACTTTGCTGAGGCTGTCATGGACAAATTGTCCATTATCGGATAAATTTCAGTCACTTCATTGAAACATAAGCATAAATATCCTATTTAAATGCATACTATACATCTGTAAATGACAAACTATGTAGCTAAAAATATGAAACAGTACAGTACATCATACAACCATTACCAGCTGAAGGTTTGGACACACATTCTCACTTAATTCATTTGGAAAGTATATCCAAACTTGACCGGTCATGGCGATCAATAGCTTTACAATGTTCTAACAAGTCATCATGTATTCAAAGCACACAAACCACCATTTAGGAAGTGAAATGTAAGCACCAGCTGCATTTTGTTTTTTTGTCCTCTGTGTAACAGTGTAGTGCAATCAGGCAAGGCTGTTTTCACAGGAAGTGGTTGGGGCACAGACAACAACAGCTCTCATTCAGCTTTCAGTGCTCATAAATTCACATCTACTTGTAAAAGTTGTCTCTCTCAGTTCCAGCAGTCATAAGTTGAATTCAAACTCTTTGCACAACTGTTGCTGAGAACCATGTTTGCGTGTTAGGTGTCCTTCGCCTATTAAGGATATCAAGATAATGTTAAACCTCCAGGGAGGTATTTCAGAGAAGAGCTTTAGTAGGTTGATTGTTTAAAAAAAAAGAAACTGAGTGAAACCCTGGATGTTCACATCCAAGAATTTACAAACAGTATCTCTTTGGCTCCCAGCACAAGGGTCCATTCTACCCCCCTTTAAATAATATTTCAAATTTACTGGATTCATGAGCTGGAGTTTCTGTGTTTTTTTCTGGGTTTCCTCTGGTTTCCTCCCACAGCCATGTGGTTTTCAAATCTAAAATTGCCCAGAGGTGTGAACAGTAGAGCGTTTTCATGTGCAGTAGGTTTGTCCTGCCCAGAATACACTGGGTGTTGGGTAAATAAAAATAAAACCTGAAGTGACTGTCACCACTAATAGTTACTCACCATCTCAGTGCTATTTGGTGGAGACTTCCGTTTTGTGTACTCCTTAGAAAATGACTAACATCTTGCTTCACATGTTGAAATGTTTAATCAAAGAGCAGTAGGCTAAATGTAATCATTTGTTGATACTATTTGTGGCAGTGCAGTTTTGCTATGTAAAATATGACTTTTTACATTTATCTTCATACATTTCTGATCTCCTTAAAGAATCCAAACCCAGCAGGGCTCTGAGATCCCAAGGAAGCAGTCAGCTGGTAAAACCTTGGGTCAGAACCAAAGAGCCTGAATCTGCTTTTAGCCACAACGCCGCACACAGATGGAACCAACTTCCCGATGACCTTAAAGGTGCCACAACTCTAGCCACTTTCAGGTCTCATTTGTTTGTCTGGTTTTTATGTACCGTAATGGCAAGATTTCAGTTTGAGACCTTTATTTTGTCTTTTTGTTCTCATTTTCAATTTATATACATTATCTAAATGTATATAAAATGAAATAAAAGTCCATCTTATCTTTGACCTAATTTCCGATTAGCCACATCAAAGCTACAAACTGACTCAAACAAAAGTATCATATTATGAGAAAGAAAACAATTTGTTCTCAGCATCCACTGATGTAACACAAAAATCCAGATCAAACCCAAGAGGCTAAAACTAGCTCAGGTTTATCAGGTACAAAAGAATTTCTGCACAGTAAAAGGTATGGAAACAAGGCCCATCTTAGAGGCTCAAAACCCTTTAAGACAAGAAGAATGTAGCCACAACTTTAATGTTTTTTATGTTACACCAAAAATATGTGTGTGTGAATATTCATGCATGCAAATAAAATGTGTCATTGCAGTTCTGCACTCGACAATAGCTCAAAGACAATCGGTCTTGTACCACTGATAAACTTTGACTATATAAGGCCAAGATGGGCTGGCTGTTTTTGCAGGTGTGAACTCTACTGTGACTCTGCCTCATCACTTTTTTGTTCTACTGCTCAAACGCTGCCCCAAAGACACAAGGCAGCAATACATGTCAAATACACTTTAAGAAAGCACACACTTCATTCTGTTTTATACCAGCTAATGAAAATTTATTAGTCTTAGACCTCTTGTTCTTGTACACTGCAACAGAGAACAGTAAGGATTAGGACTCTCTGTGTATCCTTTGAAGGAGAGGCAAGATATGCAAACCTGCCGTATATAAGGAAAGAGTCTGATGTAGCACCAATGACTGGAACATTTTCAATCACACAAAATCCAAAGCACACAAAGTCTTTTAAAACCATGCCAATATCCAGGTCTTGTCTGCCTGTGCAAAACATTTTTATATAGGCTTTCACACCTTAATCCAATTTAAGAAATGTAATGGTCTTGCAAAGGAGTGGACCCAAGCCAACTCAGCCTACACATGACAGATTGGCAAACGGGCATGGCTTGGTTTCCGTTTCTGATTCAGGCAGGCTCGGTCTGTTTTCAACCAACTAACAGTCTGATTGGCTTTGGCACTGCTGATGAGGGGAGGTGGATAATAAAAGCACACAGGAACACTGCTCTACACTCTTAGTACTCCGACCTGCATGCCACCTTAATAGTATCAGCACCTTTATAAATGCAGACTGAAAACACACACCAAAACTAAAAAAAAAAAAAAAAGATGATGTTCCTGTTCATTTAAAATCTTTCCAAGGCTATAACTTACAACAGGTATTCAGCATATAACACAGTGAACTCCAACATTATCCTCTTAAACAAAAGTTCACTCACTCTGAAATTCTGCAGCTATAGAACCAAATCGAACCCAACTAGACTGTGGCCAACTCACCATGTGGCCAACAGGAATCCCTAAAGCATTGTAGTTCTTCGCCATGGTGGCCCAAACGCCAGACTGTGAGCAGAAGTCTTATGCGATGTGTACTATCAGGGCACACAGTAAAGTGCTCCACCCAAAATCATGCACATTGTTCATACACACACACAGTGAAAAACTCATCACTTGTGTCTTCCTGTCACTTCCTGCCTTGAAGGGGAAGTCTTGCCATAGCAACAAGCCACAAAAGAGGAAGTATGGTTACTATGATCTAACTGTTCTCAGCCTATGTCTTGAGAAACACTGTGATGTGGGAACACTCGAAGGCAACAGCACTCGTGCTGCTTTTGACGTACAGTAACTTGGTGCAGCTTACAACTGTTATAGAATCTGGACTGCAAATTTGCAGCTATGATGCTGCATCTGAAGATTTTTTTTTAGCCCAAGTCACAGTTTTCTTCTTCTTTCTTTTAGTCATAGTCAAGTCTCCTTGTTTGTTTGTGGACCACAATCATATGAGTTTCTTGTGTAATCAATGACAATGCTACTTGTCTAAATAAGCTCAACTTTTTTTGGAAATCATTGAAATTTAGGCATAAAAGTAGAAAACATAATGCATTCCAAATGCTTTCTATAGTTACATGATGTCAAATTGATGGTATTCCCTAAACATCTCCAAGCTTCAATAGATAGGGCAGTTATCACCATAACATCTCTCAATCAGTTATGGGCTTTCTTAAAAAAAATGCAAAACATCCTCCAGTGTCTGTGACAAATATACTACACCTGCACTGTCAGACAGATGAGCATGCATTTGATCTTCACTTAAGTTGTGTGCAAAATGACTGTCATACCTGGGTAGCTGGCACCACGCCAGTGGTTATGTTGCACCGCATGTCATATTTCCTGTATTGCCTTTGTGCTGTGTGTTTTACCAAGTGGGAAAACCTGTGATAAAGCCCTCTGAAAGTCATCATCTTCAGAAAAACAAACACACTGCTACCAGCCAGGAGAAAAGCCTTGAAACCTACAGATCAGTTAATTAACAGCTTTAATGTCACCTGATTCCTTCAACGAGTCCTGACATGCAAACAAGCAAACGGCACAGGTGAAGCTGGACATTTTAATTAAAGGTGTATGTTATTTCCTCCTGGGAAAATGGTGACAGCAGCTGTCCTGTCTGCTTCTGCCTGGATATCAGATGTTTTGCATGTAGAAGTGAGGGCATTCAGCATAGGCTGGTTGAATGTATGGCAACACTGTTTCACTGTACCTTTAGGGACATGGCTATCCTGTGATATCCAAAACATCTGACAAATAAACTTTGAGTGGCACATGGATGAAATATCCGGGGATCCAGGACTGAAGCAGCTTTACTGGAAGCATGTTCAGTAATTTCACTGATCAGGTCCAAGATCTATAGAAATGAGTGATGTAAAAAGAGAAAATAAAAGACAGGTTGTTAGGATTATAATATATCTCTGATGAAAAAAATGGTATGATCTCTCAGAGGTGATTCAATCTACAAACCAATTTGAATATTTCCCATGTGATCACCTTGCGTTTGTGTGGGTCTTTTAATCCCACAAACAAATGTATGTTTAGTTAAGTAAAACATTAGGTTGAGGTTGGAGTTTAGGAGGCTGATAATGTTTTGTTTCCAGTGAGCACACTGTCGCTTTCACAATGCGTGCTGAGCCTCCTAAACAAGATGGATGATCAGCAGCACTCTCTACTGGCCACTGTGTGAATAAAAACTGTGCATGAAGACCATGCTTGGATATGTCACTTTATATGATGTGTGTAAAGGCAGTTTGTTGTTTGCATGTTCCTGTCTCTGCCCCGCGTTTGACTGTTTCGCTTTTTAGCTGTAACAAATGCAAATATACAATCATTTAATCTGAGTGTTCACATACAGCAAGTAGCAACACCCGCCCATCACTCTCACCAACAAACATACAAACACTGACATTGTTTGTGCTGTCATATCTGCATTTGCATTGGTATCAGAGTTTAGAATCAGTCCCGCCTTTCAGATGCAAAGACCATTAGGTTAGGCAGAGCAGAGCAAGATGCCATTCAGCTCCACTACAGGTAAAATTAAAAGCATTATGAGCATTTTATACTGTTAGCTTTACTTTTAGACATCTGTCTCAACCTATTCTCCACCCAATGGCTATCAGAGAGTTATCCCTAAAACTTGTGATTGGTCATTTTCTCATAGGTAAGGAGCCACTTTGAATGTTACAGTTATATATAAATATATATTTTCTTATTTTCAATGATTATAAATGCCTGTTCATGTCTATACATATGCTTATTATTCTGTTATTTTAGTTGGTGTTGGCTCTGCCTGTGTTCCTCACCAGTGTCTGGAAGGTGGCATCAGTGAAATTAGTCTGCTAATAGGTAAAACAAACAATAACAACAAAAAATTAACCAAACCCCTCACTCTATTAATAGAAATATCTGGAAATATCATGTAACAACTAGGAATAATGTTATTTATATTGTTTCTTCCTTCTGTGTTTTTCCTATAGGTTCTTGTGAGCACTGCCCAAACACTACATCCCTGTGCATGAATGGTTAGTGCTCTTTCTTCTCATTTGTTCACTTCACAGTATGTACTATGAATTTTTCATGTGGCACAGTATTTGACGGTGGGGTGTGGTACTAGAATGATGTTGACACAAACAAATGGCAAATGTAGGACACTTGAAAAATATACAAAATTAACTAGTGCATTGCTGAATATTTTACTGAGTAGGATAAGTTAGAGTTCTCAGAAAAAATTATGGATTATACAAATACAGGCTAGCTTTGCCTTGCTTGCTATTCTCCAGATATTCCATCAAACTGCAAGAAAGGTCATTTAGAACCATATTCTTGACTGTGGCAGTGCACTGGAACACATAAAGTGACACCTGACTGATTACCTAACATTACAACAATTGCGTCCCTTTCCTTAAATATGTACTCTCATCTATCAGACCTTCAGGTTTCTATCAACAGCACTGGATCTGATGTAAGTGAGGGTGATGACATCACTCTAACGTGTGTCCATAGCGTTACTAATCTGACTCTGATGTTTGGGTGGAGGAAGGACGGGAAGGAATTCCAGGAACACCAAAACAAAAGCAAGCTGTTTCTCCAGAAAGCGAATTCACTTGATGCAGGCTGGTACGTCTGCTATGTGAATAGCTCATGTTGCAGTTGCACATCTTCACCACAGCAGGTCACTGTGCTTAGTAAGTAGATATCTCTCTTATTTCACACACTAATGTAGATTGTGCATTTTTACTCATTAACCAGTGGCCTGAATATAGTCCATTTAACAATTGGTGAATTAAAAATAAAAGAGCAGAAACTTATAATGGCTTGTTGTAACACATAATTAAATGCTGAAACATCTCAATGACCCATGCATGTTTCTTCATCATCTGTCTGTGTTTCTACCTTTGTAACTGTCTGTGTGTGTCCTCGTCCAGATAACAGTGTGATCATCCTGGTGATCTGTGGTGTTTTAGCTTTGCTCCTGGTCGTGATTATGGGGCTGGCTATGAGGTTCAAGCTTAAAAGAGACAACGGTAAGAGCTCAGGTCAGACTGCCTGTTCTAGTAAACACAGGGGCCTGATAGACTAGAGAATGAAAATATATATATAGCCAAAAGCACCTCTTCTTTCTCCCTGATACAGTATATCCTCTGAAATGTCAGTGCTGATAGGTACAAGCTAGTCTGGCTGTGTCTAAACATATGCATAGAGATAAGTCAAATTTGCAATTCTAGCTTTAGCAGTCCACAAAAATTAAAGAAATATCTTGACATTTTGGAAAAAATATTCACTTTCCCAACTAAAGTTGAGCTAGATGGGAATTAATACCACTCTTATATCTTCACATTTCATATGAAGCTGGAGCTAGCTGCTATTTATCTTAGCTGCTGGTGTACCCAGGTGGAGATGCAGTTTGAGAACATTACCCCATAAAATGAAATATAACATAATCATTATCAAACTATAAAGGTGCTGATAGGTGGATTGTTTATTTATTTATTTTACCTTTGGACAAAGCCAGGGTACTGAAGATATTTTCTCTTCCTCCTTTTTCTGATCCATGTGCTAAGCTAAGCTAACTGGCTGCTGCTACATGCTTATCGTACAGACAGGAGTGTGATATAAATTGTCTCATCTAATTCTTGAGTTTTCCAAAAATGTTTGGCCTATTTCTTTCATTTTTGCAGACTGTTAATACTAGAACTGGAAATATGAATTATCTTTATGTACATTATCAAGCATGATACCTCCTCTTTGTCTCTGCAGCTAAATACAGAGAGAGGAGGCAGAGGGATGGGCAAAGTGGCGGCCCAGCTCCACTCACACCAAGAGAATCCTAAATAAGAAACTTTCTAAATCATTCAGTACTGACATGTTCTTCTTAATGTGCTGTTGTAGTATGTGATATAGAAATAAAACCTAGTTGTGTGTGATCAGAGGTGTGTGGTGTTACAAGCTTATCCATGGGCCATTTCCAGACCAGGGTAGATTCATTGTGTCACACAGCATTCATCTTAACTACTCCCACCGAGCAGAAAGCCTGGAAGGAACCTAGAAGTGTTTTAATCCAGATGCAGGACAGCCATGCTTAAAAACAAGTCCCTCTGACTGTTCTACTCATGCACACTATGCTACACAGAGCAGCTTTGAAACAGCTGGCATGTAATGGATATATGATAATGTTTTCCTCTCCTCTTCCAGATAGGGATGGATGTGGGATTTGACTCATGAACACAAAACTGTTAAATTCCCTGGTTCAACAACATGATAATCCTTTGAAGGTTATGTGTTAAGTTGTGTGCATACTGTCAGTCGTCATGTTGCATTTTCTCCCTTAGCCATGTGGCAATATGTCTGGACTTGTATGTGAGTGTGTCAGGAAGAACTGTTTATTCAGTTTTGTCCTATAGCAGGTGGCTAAGGGATAATCCAGGTAAAGCCTATGCAAAGTGGAGATGGAGGGATGGACAGAGGAAGGGGGGAGAGTGGATGGGGTGGCCTTTGCATAGATGACTAGGGCTAATTCTGTCCTCCTAATTCCAGTCCCGTCCACCCTCCCCCTCTCCCGCTTTCTAACTCCACAGACACAGTGAGGACTAATTGATGTCCAGGCAGACATTACTATCATGTACACACATAGCACTTAACTCGCTAAAGTTTATTGAGGAGAAAAGGGGAAAAGGTGGAGGCTGCTGGTACCTTTTCTGGATAGCTAACCTGGGTAAACTAGACAGGTAACACACCTGTGACAACTTCACTGGAGAATGTAGCTGCAGGTATCCAGCCAAGCCATAAACACGCCACCATGGGAGAGGCTCCAAAGGTAAGTGACCTGATATGGAACAACAGAAATTAAAACCCAGTGTGAACCTTTGGTATCTGTTTGATACAGAAGAATTTCTCACATCTGGCTGTGACTCATGGTATGAATCATCAAGTGTGAATCAAAAATGAAAGTGTATGTACTGCTTGTAGATGCAGCTCCCAGCCAAAATAGTTGGATTATCTAAAGCTGCTGGTTTGTGAAATTGGGTTCATGCATCTAAATGGGACTGCTAATGTCCTTTGATTGGAATTTACCACATGCACACTGTAGTATTTATTGCCTGAATCAAAAATTTAAAGCTAAAGATTCTCTTTTGTCAACAGTTTTCAGTTGTGCGACCTTGCTCCAGATTAATCACATTAAACGGTGCTCCATCATATGAATAGAGCTCTAATCAACACTGGTAGTTTTCTAAATGAAGTAACAGCTTAATTCTGGAGGTAGCTCCAAATATGACTGGGGATTGGTTGGTGCGTGGGCAGAGCCAGCACACATACAGTACGTGTGGCCAAGACTGATGTATGTAAGGGGAACTTTGACATCAGATCAGAAAGATGTCTGCGGAGTTTTCAGTTTTCAGGTGTAAAGTATGTCTGAAAAATCCCAGGGGGGTTTACCTCCTGAAGTTATGTTGGAGTATATGAAAGCAATATGCTGTATAGATATATAGATATGGAGAAAAAAACATATCATGATATGTTATTTGTCATCTG